TGTCCAGATAAGCACCTGCCAAATATTATTGGACTGAGTTTCAAATGAGGAATACTTTAAACATTTTTTTTTTTTTCGTTAAAAACCTGTACCAGTTCAAGAGCTTGGCCCCTGAACTTAATAACCATTTGTACTCTTGCATAGTGGATATAAAATACTAGCACTGGATATATGCCCACGTTTGTGCACACAAACTGCAAAGCAAAGCATCAGAAATATATCCTTCTCCAAGTACTTCCTTTGGGGCTGATTGTTCAGGATAAGCAATATGCATGATATAACTGGTGCATGTAACAGTAAGTGCAACCCTCTGCAAATTTGAATTTAAAGACACTAACTTGATACTGAGGCTGAACTTTGTAGATGAGTAATCTATGGTATTTTTAATTATAACCATTTCTGTGGTCTGAATATGAGTACAGCTGATTCTGTCATGTGACACTACAGGTTGGACTTTTAAATGAGACATTATTGCATTTGATTGAGGCAGTTATGTTTCTTGAAAGTTGTATTTCAAATCAGACACAAGAGGCAATAATTAGAGGCTGAGAGCTTTGAAAATATGTACCATTTATTTATTTATTTTTGAGAAACCAAGATTTAAAACACATGTTCCGTCTGCCTCTCTCTAATTTACTTCCTTTTCCCTAATGAACATTTGTCAACTGTCACACACTTCAATTTTCTTTAGCTATGTCTATCAAGATTTAAGTGAGACTTATGTCGAAATACCAGAACTAATCTCACGAAGTGAAAACTAATGAAGTTGAGTCAATTCTGTGATATTTTAGGGAAAATGGAGGTGCAAATCAATTTTCTTGAAATGTAGGTTCTGACTCAACAGCATTCACAAGGTCTTTACTAAAGGTCTGATTGTGAGAAATGCTGGTCAAAGGCACTCTTGATATAATGGGCCAGATGCCCAAGTGGATTAACCTGATGAAGAGCTTTATACAGCCCGAGGATCTTATGGAATGGTAACCAGCATCATCCATGGCATCTCAAAATCAGACCACCAGAAGATAGCAAATGTCCTGGGTTCTTTTTAAGGCCAATTTTCCAGTTGGTCAAATGTGTTTTAAAAGTAACGTCTTTTTAGACAAATGCAGACCTCTCCAAGGGATCAAGTCAATGGATTAATGTGGACAGATCCTTATAGGTTAAGGGA